ACAACTGCCTGCTTTCTGATTTACTTTTGATCCGGCTTTGTTGGATTCCTCACTCTGCTGTATATTTTGAGCTTACAAAGGTGTGGATTTTGAGCAGTGTGATTACCACCTTTCAGATTTTGGGTTGCTGTTGTTTTTGTCTTTTGGGTTTTTATAAGGGGAGGCGGGGAAGGGGAAATGCCTGGGGCGGGGTGGGGGGGACATGTGATGTATGTGAACGCTGACATGGTCATAGGATCAGACTGAGGTCTTCCTAGCTCTAGCCTCTGAACGGAAACCAGCTCTGTTCAAACTGCATCTTATGCATGGGCCAGATCCTCATCTGGCCTGTTTACTTACATAACACATACTAGTCAATCGAAAATAGTGATCCTCTGCCCTCTACCTGCCACGCATTTGTGATTGAATATTTGACCCTTGTTTTTAATTGTTCTGAAAATCACATAAGCATTTGTCACAAAGGGGGAATTTGTCATATGTCATCCGTGATGTGGGTCCATAATTACTTAAGCAGCCCTTTTATCTTAATCCTGAACACTGAACACAAGGAATCCTATTTTGAGGCCATGAATATTGGTTATTTTATTCTTTGTTACCTGAGTGAGAAGTGAGGGTAACGGTGGGTGGCGGGGGGGGGGGGGGGGGGGAGTATTATAATAGTAAACTTTTTATGTTATTAGAAGGTTAAATATACTTTTACAAGATTTTTTTAAACTCATTAACATTTTTTTTTCTTTTCAGTTGTAGTAAAGCATTCTTTCTATGGTTATTATGACTTAATATTGCTTGACATACATTCAGGGCAGAGATTTAACTATGTGTGGTAGTTAAAAACTTAAAAGATAAATTAGAAAACAAGCAACAATCAGGTAACAAATTAACAAGTACTTTTCTTTAATATTTTACATTGTCATATTAAGTTTTGTGTACAATTTAAGCTTATGTTTTACCATCTGGACAGAACGAAAATAGTAATCTCTACTCAGAAATAAAATCAGAATGACAATAAGTAGTACGAGTTTTAGACTTTGTCCACAGTTTGTCAATGATAAATATTGGGGACCTTCCTACTGTACAAAAGAGAAGAGGGCCCACAACATTTATGGGGATACGTGCCATTCATGTGCCACATCTAAATTAATATAGCGTATTGTGTACCTTTAATAGTGTCACATTTTTCCATGTTTTCCTTCTCTAATAAAATTCTATAGAAGTGACTCTTGCCATCTCATTTCCTGACAGCTACAAAACAGCCCAAATATCTGCTTAATAAAGAAGCCCTTTGTTGTCTATGAAGGTCTTAAGGCTTTCCTTGATCCTGTTACATAATCTGAGACTATGTTATTTGCTGACTTTGGGGGAGGGGAAGAAATGCCGCCTGATTCATAGTTGTCATAAAAATATTCAAGATTCCCTGCATTCAGTTTATCAGCAGGAAGGAGGGAATAATTCACACTTGTGCCATGAAATTATTACTTCCTAAAATTTCTGCATGGAGTTTCTACCTGAATATATGTGCAGTTGATTAATTTATCAGCTTTATGTGCCTGAATTGTGAATTTCTTGTTTTTTCCCCCTCATATTACCATTATCCTTACAACCAAAACTGAAAAGGAGGAGAGAGAAAAACTCTCTGAAATTGTTCTTGGTAATTAGCCATTCAATTTGTAAAAGGAATACTTTTTAAGAAGGTTTAAACTAGTTACTACTTTTCGAATCAGACATTGAGATGGCCAGGCTGCCTCTGGGCTTCATTATTTTGTCTAATTGACGGATTCTGAATTCAGTCCCACACCAGTGCACTCAGTTCTAAAAGCAAGGCTTTGTTTTATTCTGGGTATTACCTGGTAACCAGTCAATTAAGAACATTAGTGGAACTCTGAAGGGAAAGCAGTTCCATAATCTCTTTGGAATCCAGTTGGGCCGATGCCAGTTGCTGTATATTGGAAAAGAGTAAGAGGAATCATCCAATTAGAGCCCCCCTTTAGTGCTTGAGAAACCAACAACAAAGAGCAAGTCTTAATTCTGAAGAGCAGCCTTGATTAATTGAAGTATAAATAACTTTTAAAAAATCTAACTTCTGCTGGCTATAATATTCTAAATAATATATGTCTGGCATGGTTAAATAGAGATATTTAAGCCAGCTGCCTGATTTCTTTATTGTAATGATCAGAAGTTGTTAGCATATAACAGACTTTTCCAAATGTTACGAAATAAAAGGAGAAGCGTTTAGGATTGTGTTCAAATCTAGTTTGGCCACCAGTAGTGCTATGGCCTTAGGTCGGTCACTTGTCTAGACCTCAGTTTCCTCACCTGTAAACAGAGGGGTTGAACTTAATGATCTTTACATTACTATCAGCAATTCAGTCTTATATTACAAAACTGAAGGTGCAGTTTTACATGATAAAACTGAAGGTTTTTATGGTGTAATGACTGAAAGTAGCACATGAGTATTGTGTGAGTCTGGGTGTGGCAGTATTTCACATACGGAATAGTTTGTAGAAGGGATATAATCAGAAATCAGATTTAGTCGGTTGAGTGAAGGCTTTGGGTCTAAACTACATCTTTTCTTTTTGAGATAGGCCTAAAAATATTATGTTTAGAAAACAGTTGTTTAAACTTGTCCTCATGAAATGTTTTCATTCTCCATTTGTGAACCATGGGCTACTTCAGCCATGGGAATTATTTGATAGAGCCTGTGAGCCCATTAGTGACCAAGCATTCCAGTTAGATGATAGATGTCACTTACGTACGCATGATTATCTTCCAAAAGCATGTGGATGCTGATGTAATGCCATTAAAATACATTTAAAGGTGTTGCTGAATTCATAGTAGACTTCTGATATTAAGATTTTTTTGTTGTTCTGTTTTACTTGTAGCATTCATTAGGGTAGAGGTACGGGTAGGAGTCTTAAGTTATTATGGAGGAAAACTCTGAAATATTTTGATCAAAGTAGGTCTTAATACTTATTATAAAAGATTATGAAATACTGCTCTAGAGAATTTCCCTAATTTTTCTGCTTTATACTCCTGCCATTAGCATGCTCTTTGTTGCAAAAAAGAACATAATATAAAAAAGGAATTTAACAGAGGAAATGGTGAAGAGGAGGGCAGGGAGATGTGAGGAGGCTACTTACCCTCTCCTAGCTTGTCATCTCCATCAGTTAGCATTTTGGAGCTTCCTGACATCTGAAATCATCTTTTATTCCTTTGTGGCAGGATTGAGAATATGGGCTGCTGAGGCCACATCCTGCTCAATGCCAGCGGGTAGAGGGAGCCATCTGACGAGATGGGTGCACTCCACGTTGTTTAACATGGCAGCTCTTGTTAGGAGGGGGAGACAGGTGCTACTAAAGCCTCTTTAAGGCCACGTGGTTTGGAAGTGTCTTATATTTTAGTTTCTGTTTATACTGTACCTTCACAAATATTTGAACATATTCAATATGCCAGGTAGACTGAAGGATACTTTTGATGCTGGGCTGCATTTTTCCTTTTCGAGGTAGACCTGGACATTGTGTATGGGAAGCAGCATTAATGACCAGTTTCAAGTGAAAGGGTGCTTACCTCTGATACCATTTCTCTTTTATTCAGTGCCCCTGTGAGAATTACTTCTACAATAACCTTTTATGTGAGTTTTGTGGTCTTTATTTAACAGTTGAAAAAAATTGAAGATCCCAGAGATGCAACAGCTTCTGTAAAGTCACTCAGATTCCTGGTACCTACAGGGTCAGTATAGGAGGAACACACAGCTTCTGGCTCCTGGTTCAATGGTCTGTGTATTTATTGTGTCACCTCTGGAAAGGAAACAAACATAAGAAAACACAAAGATTTTTGTCTAGTATGTTTTGACAGAAGGTAGGCATTCAATTTTTTTTTTCTTTTCTTTTCTTTTTTTTTTTTTTTTTTGAGACAGGATCTCGCTCTGTTGTCCAGCCTGAAGTGCAGTGGCACAATCTTGGCTCACTGCAGCTTCTGTCTCCTGGGGTCAAATGTTACTCCCACCTCAGGCTCCCAAGTAGCTGGGACTACGGGTGCCTACCAGTGCACCTGGCTAATTTTTGTATTTTCTGCAAAGATGGGATTTTGCCATGTTTTGCCCAGGCTGGTCTCCAACTCCTGGGCTCAAGTGATTCGCCCACCTTGGCCTCCCAAAGTTCTGGGCTTGGCCTCCCAAAGTACTGGGATTACAAACATGAGCCACTATGCCTGGCCAAGATTTCTTAATTTTAATTTAGGAGATGTTACAAAATTTAAAAATCTGTATTTTATCATCATCGATGAAAGGTTCAGATCTCACAGTTGGCTGGTTTCATACTGAAGTTTGCCTTATTGGGAGTGGAAACTTTTCCAAGGTGACTTGTTTTCTTCCCTGATTCTTATTCATCAAGTTTGCCATGGGGCTTAAGCATGTGTATTCTGAAAGTGATTCAGATACACTTCCTTCCCTTCCCACTCCTACCTTTGCACTGCTTTGGATGTATACATAAAGTCTAAAGCTGTCTGAGGCCATTCATACAACAAATATACATCAGGCATCTACTGTACACCACGCACTATTTTAGGTTGTTGGGATATATCAGGGACTAAATAAAAACAAAGGTTCCTGGCTGCATGTAGCTTATTTTCCAAATAATTACCAGATATCCTTGAATATCCTGTTTATTATTTAATTTAGAAGATTAATAAGAGGAAAAGTAAGAACCCTGAGTATTGATAGGATAAAATAGGTAGTGGGCCTTCTGAGAAATAACCAAAGGTGAAATTCTTAGATCAGATATAAAATGCAAGTCCATTCTTCATTAAGATTCAGAAGAGTTGCCAGGCGCAGTAGCTCACACCTATAATCCCAACACTTTGGGAGGCTGAGGTGGGGTGGATCACAAGGTCAGGAG